GAGGACATTATGCTGAGTGAAATAAGTCAATCACAAAAGGACAAATATTGTATTAGTCCATTATTGTAAAAGTTAAGGAAAGGTTTATCTATGGAAGGAAATTTTCTTTGTTGGTTACCAGGGGTGGGAGGGGAGGGGAGGGAACACTGTTAGATGGATAGAGAAGTATTGATTTGGGTAAAGAGAAGGGCAATGTACCAAATGTGAGTGATCAATATGGTGGCATTGAGGAAGAGAAAGACATAGAGAGGTACATGGGAGGTGCAGACAACAAAGGGGAACCCTTTTGCACATACAGTACTACATTGTCAATGAAGGCAAACATGGGTATACGGGTGGATAGGTGGGTGGACAGGCTGAACTAGTAGGTATGTCTAAGAAGTGGGGAGTGTACCCAAGAACATGTATAAGGTTGGCAGACAACGGTCCTATAAGTTTATGTGTATGATCTGAATTCCCAGGTGTATCGTGTTGCTGATAAGACACAAGGTGGTAGTCACTGCTTGGTCACAGCCAGCTACCCAGAGGGACCGAGTAGTTGAACTTGTGGGCTCAGGACCATAGTCACAGGGACATCAAGCTCAGTTGGCATAACATACTACACAAAACATTGTTCTACCTCCTACTTTGGCAAGTAGTGACTGGGATCTTAAAAGCTTGGAAGCTGCCATCTAGATGCAACAATGGGTCTCTCCTCGTCCAGAGCAAAGGAGAATGAAGAAAACTCAAACTTCATAGATACAATCAGTCCTAACAACTGGTACACCATCCAATCTGCAGCCTGTACGACTATCAGACCAGAAGAACTAGATGGTGCCTGGCTACAAATGTCAATCTCTTGGAAGGGGATCTATGTAGGAGGTCCTGGATAGAGAGGGAGAACAATGTGGACAAAACTCAAAATCATTTGGAGAAAATAAGAAAGGAGTGGGGGGGTACCAGGTGTGCTGGTCCGATAGAGCTTATGGAACCACTGAGACTATGGCCCCTAGCAGCCCATCAGGTCTGGAATTGAACCCACACTTGTGGCTTCCAGCCAAGCAAAAGACAGGTATATGAGTTGAACATTTACCTGAGGTAAATACACTCCTTGGAGAGAACAGTGATAGGAGAAAGAAAGGGCTGCTTATGCATCGACCAGCAGATAGCTGAGGGGGCAGGAGGGCATGGAGGGATGGACACAGGGAAGAGGTAATTTTCGGTAGGAAGTGGGAGGGGAGCTGTTGCATTGTGGTGAATTGTGGTCAATGTCATGACAAAGTGTATGTGAACTGCTGTATGGGAAGTGAATTTGCTCTGTAAATTTTTACCCAAATCACAATAAAAATAAATTTAAAAAAAAAAAAAAAAACAACCCTGCCTTTTATTGGTTTAATGACAGATACATTTCTTTCTCCTATCCCTGACTCTTCTCCTTCCTCTTTTGCTCCAGGCAAATAGAGACCAATTGTTGTGCCTTGGATGGCTGCTTGCAAATTTTTAAGACTTCCGGCACTATGCAAGGAACTAGGAGGTAGAACAGAAGCACTAAAGCACTAAACGTATCATTAAGCCACTTAACTGGGATATCCCATGAAACCAGGACCCTCAACCTCCAAATGAAGGAGCCAAATTCTTAATGAGGCAGTGCTGCAGTACCTATTTATATTGGTACTTTTCTTTCTGTAGGATTGATTGCTAAAAGTAGAATCACTAAGGCAAATAACTTCTTCATCACCTTCCTTTCAAAGTAGCCAGGATAGCTGAAGTATATACTTTTTAAAAAATGCAATAAACAGTAAGGTAAAAATTGCCAAAGACTTAAGCACATTAAAGGCATTTTTATCTGTGTAGACATGTGAGGAAGTAATTAGAAAATTAGAAATAATGAAAAGAATGCTTGTCTTACAATTGATGGTAGAACTATTCCTCTTATTCTAGACTTCTACTTTAATCTGTTTCCCTAAAATGAGGTTAGTATTTTTGTCTGGTGGGAGAAAGCGAAGAACTGGTTTGGCCTGGCTGAACAGAGCATGAAGAACACATACTGGCCTGTAATCAAGTTCAACATCTATCTAACTAATAAAATAGGCATCATGACATTGTCAAGGTTGTCACATTCCCTGATTTTGCCCCTTGTCTCTAGCCAGTCTGGCTGTCAATGAAATGGTACATAGAGTCATACTAGGTAACCTCTCAGTGACCACCTGGCCCACAAAGTCCCTTATTTCCATAATTCTATTAGCTGTCATTTCTTAGCTCTAGTAGCATAGTGCCTAAGGCATTTGACTGCTAACCAGAAGGTTGGCGGTTCAAGTCCACCAGCCACTCTGTGGAAGGAAGACTGGGCAGTCTATTTCCATAAAGACTTACTGGGTTGGAAACCAGAGAGATCACTATGAGTTGGAGTCGACTCAATGACAGTGAGTTTGGTTTTTGGTTTGGTCATTCTTTATGGATCTTAATCTCAGAAAGTATAATATTATTGTATTAGGTGTACCTTACATACATGAAATCTTGCTTGATAGCGTTTGAATTTAAGTCTTTATGGAAAGTTTCAAGATCTGTAAATAAGTATTAACCCCTCCTTTGTTTTTTAGACTTCCTGGGAATGAAAATGATTGGTGAGCTTCTACGGATGTCAGGTGCCTTTTTCATGCGACGAACTTTTGGTGGCAATAAACTCTACTGGGCTGTATTCTCTGAATATGTAAAAACTATGTTACGGGTAAATGCAAATAATTATCAAGTACTTTCAATCTTTATTTTCTCTGATGTTTGCTATGAAATTTTATTTTTAAATGTTTAACTTCTGGATGAACTGCTTAGATATTTGTTTCTTCCCCTTCAAGGAATGTTCACTACCTCAGTAGTCTGTTTAATCTGTATGGCTCTTTTAAGTTATATTGTAAACTGTTTGTTTAGAGGGCTGGGGAGGGAGCTTGGGAAAATAAAAGAAGCATTTATCATTTTGAGAGTAGGCAATGGGTTTTGTGTTTTGTTTGTTTGTGTTTTCTCTTTAAAGACTGGTTATGCTCCTGTTGAATTTTTCCTCGAAGGGACAAGAAGTCGCTCTGCCAAGACATTGACTCCTAAATTTGGTAGGTCACTTACAGATTAGAAGACTGTTAACCTTCAGGAAAAAAAAGAAAAAGAAAAAGAAAAAGCTTTAAACATGGTCTCATCATAACTGCTCAATAACTTTTTGGCGAGATATTCTTTTCTTTATAACTGTTTCTTCAAGTTTAAGTGTTTATTTTTATGGGCTTTGTGTATATATAGTATGCACTTTTAGTATATTCCTGTGTGTACCCCTTACTTGCTGTTATTCAGTGTGTGTAATGAAACATTCTTCCATGTGTTTACAGGTCTTCTGAATATAGTGATGGAACCATTTTTTAAAAGAGAAGTTTTTGATACATACCTTGTTCCAATTAGCATCAGTTATGATAAGATATTGGAAGAAACTCTTTATGTGTATGAACTTCTAGGGGTTCCTAAGCCTAAAGAATCTACAACTGTACGTAAAGGATAGGCAGATTTGATTTTATTTGCATCTTGAGAACACTAATTTATACATTCACTAATTTCTAAATGTATATATACCTTTTTATGTTCTTTCCCTCTGTTGTGCTACTGTTAGGGATTGTTAAAAGCCAGGAAGATTCTCTCTGAAAATTTTGGAAACATCCATGTGTACTTTGGAGACCCTGTATCACTTCGGTCTCTGGCAGCTGGGAGGATGGATCGGAGTCCATATAGCTTGGTTCCAAGGTACAAGGCTCTGTGTTTTGTTTGTTTGTTTTTTCAATTGTTGTAAAAGTATATATCACATGACTTTTGTCAGTAAAGGCTGTGTTTTTATGAACTTATATAGAAATAAGGATTAAAATCTAAAAGTTTGAATTGTGATTCTTGAGTTGACCACTTCTAGGATTGAAACTTGGTTTACCTGAGGTCACACAGCAAATTGTTGAGAAAGCTGTATCATTACATTTTCTCCAGTGGAAAGCTTCGATTAAAGAAGAATTATATGTTTGCCCAAAGAGTGATTAGCTGCAGGATATATTTGTCAAATATGCAAAGTCAAACAATGGTCATTCTTCTCAGGGAACCAGCTCCCTACTAACTTAAAAGTGGTAAGATTCATTTTAAACCAGTGTTTGTACAGAAATTGTTGAGAGCTATTGATAGACCAGCCAAAGTATGTGCTAAGTGTTATTTTTGATCCTAGAAAGGATTGAGTAAGAATAATGAACAGTAATGAGTGGGATTTAGTCCTTGTTCTTAAGAAGTTTACAGTTTTATGGGAAAATAAATGCATTAGGTTCTTTTAGGATACAAGGTCCAGATGAATATGTGGGTTTCTTTAATTTAAAGAAATATACATGAGAAGTAAGGGAGACAGAAACCATCGGCCCAACCAGGCCTCACAGTACTACAGTATCATTCAGAAGTTGTCTGCAGCTCTCAGTCTCACAGCAGCTATTGTGCCTTAACCACAGTTTCATTAGTCATCTCTGAGGCATGTGTTCACTTTTAGTTGCCATAGCTTTCTCTGTGCAGATCTCAAATTGAGTTGCACAGTTATTATCTAGTATAGGGCACCCTTCCTAGCTACAGTTTTCACATTACGTCACTTTATCATCTGGATGCTTTTAGGACAAGTATGTAACCCTGCTCTAACCAGCTTTCTCTGAGTCCCCAGTATCACGCATTTCAAGGTTTAGGAATCCATGCACAAAGAGCCTTGAGGAATATAGAAGCATTTACTTGACAAAGTACTCTCTCTGAAGCTTCTTGGAAGAGGGCCATGTCAGGCAAACTCTACAGCCTATCCGGTGCGAACATAAACAGTTGTAATGTAATCTGATAAGTGTGTTCAATATACTATGGATTCCAAAAAGGCAAAGTAGTTACTTCTACTGGGAGCAGGATCAGTTTTCACAGAATTGTTGGAGTCTATTTATAAAGCAACAAAGATTTTTTTGTCTGGAACCAAGAATAGTAGGACCTTCTTCCCTTAAGTAATTTTATCATCTCTGAAGAGGATACCCTGGAGTAGTATGGACAGTTTACACTGTAGTAAACCATTTGATCTGAAAGAATCTGGTTGGCATAAAGTATGAGAAACCTTCTAAAAGGTCTGTTTTCTTCTGTTCCCCTCTCCATTCACATTTTTCTAGGTGGCAGAACTGTAATTTGTTGTTTTGTACTCTTTCTTTTAGACATATTCCTCAGAAACAGTCAGAGGACATGCATGCCTTTGTCACTGAAGTTGCCTACAAAATGCAGCTTCTACAAATTGAAAACATGGTTCTGAACCCATGGGCCCTAACGGTTGCTGTTTTGCTCCAGAATCTGCCATCCATGAACTTTGATGCTCTCGTTGCAAAGACCTTGTGGCTGAAAGGTTTAACACAGGCATTTGGAGGATTTCTCACCTGGCCTGGTACATACGTTTGATATACGTGATGAATACTAGCTTTTTTTATTTCTTAATTCAGAAATGTTGTAATTTAGACGTGATAAAGCGTAAAAGACTTTGAACAAAACATTGCTGAGAGAGAGAAAGAAAACCTGATTTTTTTTTTTTTTTTTAATCACTAAACCAAACCAAATTCACTGCTGTCGAGTCGAACCAGACTCAGAGCAACCCGTCCTTGGGTTTCCAAGGCAGTGTCACCATAGAAGTAGATTGCCTAACCTTCCTTCCGAGGAGTGGCTGGTGGGTATGAACTACCAGCCTTCTAGTTAGCAGTCAAATGCCTTAGGCACTATGCTACCAGAGGATGTTAAATGCAGCATGTTGATTACTTGAGAATACATGCCATTTGCCCCTACTGGATTTCAAATAGCTTGAGGATTAGAGTATCATCTTCTTGCATCTAGCAAAGTTGACAGTAAATACATGAATCCTTTGTGTTCTGTATATTCTTCCTTCCATGCCTTCCTCTATTTATACATTATTATATTTGCAACTATGGAAATACTTGCCTCAATGGGTTATAAGGATTAAAAGGTTGGTCTTGTAGGACTTTATACAATTCTTTGATAATAAGTACTTTCTAGAAACTTTGAATTACTATGATAGGAGTTTGGGATGTATATGGCAATAGTTGGGAGCTCTGGTGGCATAGTGCCTAAGCCACTTGACTGCTAACCAGAAGGTTGGTGGTCAAACCCACCAGCCACTCCTCAGAAGGAAGACTGGGTGATCTACTTCTATAGCATACCACCTTGGAAACCCAAGGAGGGGTCACTATGAGTCAGAGAAGACTCGACGGCACATAACAACAACAACATGGCAATAATTAGCTTAAGTTGTTTTTAAGCTCTTTGATTTAAAAGTGTAGAGACTATAGTTGGAAATGTAAATCTTTTTTTTTTTAATTTTTATTGTGATTTGGGTGAAAATTTACAGAGCAAATTCATTTTCCATACACTAGTTCATACACATTTTGTTTTATGACATTGACTGCACTTCCCTACAGTGTAACAGCTCTCTTTCCACTTCTTCCCTATAGTAACCTCTTCCCTGTGTCCTTTCCTATGCATTCCTGCCCCCTGAGCTATGTCTCTGTGCAAACACTGCCCTTCTATTCTCCCATGATTGATTATTTTAAGGAGTGTGTCTATGTGATATAAATGTTCACCCTATATGCCTCTCTGTTTTTGGCTGGAAGCCACAGGAGTGAGTTCAATTCCAGACCTGAAGGGTAACTATGGGCCATAGTCTCAGGGGTCTCACCAGGCTCTATCAGACCTGTAAGCCTGGTCTTTTTTATGATTTTGAATTTTGTTCCACATTGTTCTCCCACTCTATCCAGGATCTGATCCCTCTCCATGGTAGCTTGCACCATCTAGTTCTTCTGGTCTCATGGTCATATAGGCTGAGGTTTGCATGGTCCCCTAGTCCCTTGGACTAATTATTTCCATATGTCTTTGGTTTTCTTCATTCTTCTTTGCTCTGGACAAGGAGAGACCCATTGTTGCATTTAGATGGCCATTTGCAAGCTTTTAAAAGACTCCAGTCACTACTCACCAAAGTAGGATGTAGAACAATGTTTTTGTGTAGTATGTTATGCCAATTGAGTTTGATGTTCCCCAAGACCGTGGTACTAAGTCCGTAGGTCTGACTGCTCACTCCCTCAGGGTAGTTGGCTGTGGCTAAGAACTTATCATAACTTTGCCGCTTGTTAATTCTATTATATATATGAATATTCTTAAAGCAATACAAATAAGTATGTAGAAATACCATCTGTCAAGCTCTTATGTGATCATAGGTATATTTCCTTTTGCCTAGACATATCTTAATCATTCAGTCCGTCTATCCATCTAAGAAATATAAATCTTTTAAGACCATGTATTTATACCAGTACCTACTGTTGGTTCATCAAGTCTATGTTGAATACTACCAGGTACTACCAGGAATGCAAAGATGATGAGTAAGAAGCAGTTCCTATTCTTGAGGTTCTCCTGGTTTATAGAGGGTGGAAGTAGGTAGGTAATATTTTAGCTAAGTAATAAGGATTAAGTGAAATAAAGATAAAGAGCTATTGACAAATTGCAGAGGGTTGCTTTGAATACTGTGTAGGAAAGGGCCCACAGTCAGATTTCATAAAAGGGACTTTTGAACTGTTCTTGATGTAAAAGTAGGAGCTCTTCAAGAAGACAAGAGAGAGAAGAGGATTGCTATCATAGGGATTAGGAAACATGAGCTAGCACTGGGTATTCATTGACTTACAAGAGTTTGGTGATAGAATGTTGTTCATGAGTTGGGGTGCTATGGAAAATAAGAATGAAAAGGCCTTCATACCTTAGGGATCTGGCCTGAAATCTATAGGTGATATGAACCAATACAGGAGTTTAAGCAGGAAAGTACCAGGTAGGCATTCAGGGAACAAATACGTATCAGTTTCAAAACTGGACATTAGTGGGCAGGAGGCAGGGAGACAAGTGAGAAGCCTGTGCTGCCTGGATGAGAAGTAAAGACTGACCCCCAGCAGTAGCAGAGCTAAGAGATGTATAATAGGAACTACTAACAAAATTGGCAATTAGTTGAATGTCAGTCACCAATAGGGAAATAAAGATGAATTGGGCGTCTCTTCTCAGCATCTTAATGGTCAAATAGGGGGCAAATTATATGTTAACTATAAATCAAGGTATATATAATAATATATATAATATAATAAAGAACAGGTAAAATGCTAAATTCAAAACTAATTGGCCCAGGTACATAGGAAAACATGGCACCTTCTTTAAGATGTTTGCTTTTTCAAGATGGGATAATTATGTGGCCAATCCATTCTTAAGAGTATCTGTTCAGCTGTTATAATAACTCTAGATGCTATGAAGTGAGAGTTAATTAATAAGTATTAGTAATATTTAAGGTGATTAAGTAAAATTCCAAATTTATAACATTGTTTTTTCTTTTACTCAGAATATTCCACATTCCTAAGCATTCTCATATATAGAGCTTTTAATGATGATTTCATGTATCATTAACTTGAGCAAGCCAAGTTCAAGAATGAATGTGATATTGTCCAGGAAAAAAAAAAAAGCCTCTTATTTGTCCCTTCTATAAAGCACTCGCAGAACTTGTTGTCTGTTATTTCCCTTGCAGAGAATATTTTTAAATATCACCAACTCTTCGTTAAGCTTCTATAAGTCTAATTCCATGACTATCTCTGGGTCAGTATAGTATCTGGTGATAAGTTACCTGACACTATTAGTGGTCTGCTACTTCAGTTATCTTTGGTGCTGGAGAACAGATCTTCTCTGTGCATGCTGAGGTGTGATGCTGGGACAGTGCTTCTTTGGGTTGCCCTTTGAGCCACCAGCAAACTAGTATTGGTCTCAGTAGGCTTTGTGTAAGGGGCCCTGGTGATGCAGTGTTTAAGCAGTCACCTGCTAATCAAAAAGTCAGTGGTTCAAACCCACAAGGGTGTGAACTCCCTCCCACGTGGGAGAAAGAAGAAGCAGTCTACTTCCATAAAGGTTACAGCCTTGATAACTCTGTGGGGCAATTCTACTGTCCAATAGAGTGACTGAGTCAGAATTTACAACAGCAGTAGGTTAGGCTTTGTGTGTGTGTGTGTGTGAAATACATTTCAAATATATATAATATTTTTGTGTACATGTAATACTTTTTTTTGCCAACCACACCCTCCCCCAAGATGTTTTTGTAAGCACATTATGCTCATTTTTTTACAAATTGCTGTAAAAAATCGGCATAGTGTGCTTACAGAAATACTTTAGGGAGAGGTCATGGTTGGCAAAAAATATACAATTCAAGTGTTATTTGCATAAAAATACAGAACTCATACACTCATCATAGACCTACTTATCTAAGTATTATTAAGTTCTCATACATGTGATTTTTCTAATTCTGTAATTCACTACTAAAAACCTTTGGATACTGTTAGTTCCTAAGGTAGACAGAGGAAGTGTTGGTTTTTAAGGTGAGAATTTATGTGCATTTCAAAAGGGCTGAGAAATTTGGAAGTGGATAAGAAAGTATGTTACATGTACTTAGAGATTTGATTTATAAAATAGTACTTTAAAATATCTTTTGTGTGTGGCATCATTATCTCAGTTGGTAGACACCAGTACCTGGTGCTGGAAAATAATTATCTTTCAAGTAACTAGAGTGAATGCAGACAGGGCCTAAACTCCCAGCAGTGGCTCATCTCATATCTTTGCTGTTTGCCTGAATACATTGTCTTTGTGTGTAGATAATGAGCCTGCTGAAGAAGTTGTCCAGTCCAACATTCTTCTGCATTCCAACATCGCCAGCCTTGTCAAAGATCAGGTGATTTTGAAAGTGGACTCTGGAGAGTCAGAAGTGGTCAGTGGACTTACTTTTCAACACATTACTCTCCTCACATGCTCAGCTTATAGGAACCAGTTGCTCAACACTTTTGTCCGTCCATCCTTAGTAGCTGTAGCCCTGCAGATGACACCTGGCTTCAGGAAAGGTAACTTTGTGAAATGTGATCTAGAATTTTGGAGGAGACTTAGACATTCAGTTTATTGTACGCAGCAACATGTGAAGCCTTTTTAATACTTAGGTGCATACATAGAACATGCACAACACTGTGGAAAGGAGCCTTTAGTACTTAGAAGACCTTACATTTTCCCCCTAAATACATGGCCATCTGCTTACAATTTTGAAATTGGAAGAAACCTAAAAAATCATCAAATCTAAATCTCTAAATAAGAAAAATTAGGCCTATCAAGTTGCATAATTTCTTAGGGAAGGATCTGGAAGTAGAACACAGTTTTCTGGTTCCTGGTCTGATGCTCTTTATACTGTAATAGTGCCCTCATCTGACAAAGGCAAGCAGGATACGTGAATAGTCAAAAATTTTATGTGTGTTTACTGTATGTACAGTAGCATCCTAGTTGCAGTGAACAGTATAGTATGAACATGAGTAAAGCACAATTCTTGATCATAAGGAGCCTGTAGTCAAGACCAGCAGTTCTGGGCTACACATTAGAATTACTGATGAAGTGAACCCCATTCCCAAAGATTCTGATTTAATTGGTCTAGGGTATTGCCCAGACATTGATACTTTATTTCCAAAGCTCATCTGGTGATTCTAAGGCTAAGCCAGAGCAGAGAGGCACTAGTCTCAGCCATACATTTTTAGCCTTAGAAAGAATATTAGAGGTCCTGTGGTCTGTTGCCCTCATTTTTTAGTGATGATACTGACGCCGGGAGTGGTTAAGGTGATTTGGTTCAGGACATAGAAAACTCAAGTCTCAAATTCTGTTCTACCTAAGGTTTCTTGAATGGATCCATGAATACTTAAGAGGCCCATAAATGGACTTTTAGGTTCTTATGAATTGCCTAGAATTGGAAGCAGTGTTTTGTATCTCTGTGCATGCGTACTTCTCTAGTGAGAAAGTTCAAAGAATATATCAGAGAGATGAAGAGTCCTGCAGGGCCACCTCAGATGGGCACCGCTAACCTACCTGTCTGCACAGCAGGACAGTTTTGTCTGTCATTGTGTACTGGCATACTCTAGTGCTGAGGATGGAGTAAAAGTATTGGGAAACAGGAATATATAGGGGATAAGAAGTCAGTTCCTTTCTTTCTCTACTAGGGAACCATTGGGATAGAAGAAAGTAGAGTCCCTGGCTTTTAAGGAATGTGGTACCCTGCCTATTACCAGACTGACTGATTAAATGATTTGAGGACTGGGGATAATTTAGATTCAGCCTTTAAAACTGTGTTAGGCCATAGTTTGCTGTGTAGATAAAATTTGGATTGGTTTCCTTGAGGCACTTAATTTTGTCCCTATGAATAAAAATATACTTTTGAAGTACTAGATTTGGGGATATTGTGGACTTCTCAGTGGTCCCTGAATGTTGAAAAGGCAGTGTTGTAATTTTATGTAATAAATTTATTTCCAGAGGATGTCTACAGTCACTTTTGCTTTCTACGTGATGTTTTTTCAGATGAGTTCATCTTCCTACCAGAAAATGCACTGAAGGTAAGTCCCTCAGCTAAAGAGTGTAGTGTTTGCAGTGTAAATTCTGGAAGTGTTGACCACAGATTCATGAGCTAATCTCAGATAGTGCATCTTCGTTTTCTTCAAGGCTGAGTGGGGCTGACCTAAAAGGAAACGTGGGTACTTATACTTCACCACATACCTCACTTGATTCTTGGTCAAGTTTAGATTAGTATGGATTATGTGGTGAGAGGAAGGTCATCCTTTGAATGAGTAGGACAGCCTCTGTAAATAAACCACTACTATTTTAGGAAAAATATTAAAATCAGTTTTCTATTAACAACTTACCAATGAACTAACCAGGCAGTTTCCTTTTCCTGTAAAAGCAAAATGTGGTGATATAGCCTGATAGCATATCCGGTGATGAGTAGTCTGGCTTCTGCAACTGGAGTGCTAGTCTGTGAGGGTAAGGATAATAGAATAGACAAAAGGTGGTCCTTGAGTGTTATGTTAAGGGGAACAGATCTTATTCCATAGTGAATGGTTATGGAGCATGCCAGAGGTTTTTGGGTTTGAAGCGTAACAGTGACATCATCAGATCTGTATTTGTGTGTGTGTGTGTGTGTGTGTGTGTGTGAGAGAGAGAGAGAGAGAGTGAGATTTGGGTGAAAGTTTGCACACCAAATTTATTTTCCATACTATAGTTTATATACATTTTGTTTCATGACATTGACTGCAGTCCCCTTAATGTAACAGCTCTCTTCCCATTTCCTCCCTCTGGTTATCCTTTCCCTATGTCGTTCTTGCCTATGCATTCCTGCCTTCTAAGCGGTTTCCCTATACAAATACTGCCTTTCTGATCACCCATGGTTGATTGTTCTAAGGAGAGCACCTACCTGGTGTAAATGTTCACCTTATATGTTTGTCTGGTGTTTGGCTGGAAGCCATGGGAGTGAGTTCAATTCCAGACCCAAAGGGTGACTGTAGGCCATAGTCTCGGGGGTTTCACCAGCCTTTATCAGACCAGTGGCCCCGGTGTTTTTTATAAATTTGAGCTTTGTTCCATGTTTTTATCCCACTTTATTCAAGATCTCATATTTTGATCCCTTTCTAAGTGGTTGACAGTGGTAGCTAGGCTACCACTAATTCTTCTGGTCTCGGGGTCATGTAGGCTGAGGTTCATTTGGTCCTCTAGTCCCTGGGACTAATTGTTTCTGTGTGTCTTTGGTTTTCTTCATTCTGTTTTGCTCCAGACAAGGAGAGACCAGTGGTTGCATCTTAGATGTCTTCTTGCAAGCATTTAATGCCCCAGTCACTACTCATCAAAGTAGGATGTAAAACGTTTTTGTGTAGTATGTTATGCCAGTTGAGCTTGATGTCCCCCATGACCATGGTGTCACACCCATGGATCCAGTGACTCGTTCTCAGGTCTGTATATTTTAAGAGAACATAGTGTACGGAGAAAGGGTTGGTGGGGCTAGACTGGGGTGGGGTGGGAGGGCAGCAAGGTGACTAAAGGCAGGAAAACCAATTCAGAAGCTTATACAGTTGTCTAGTTATAAAATGATGAGTGCTGAGCTCAGGGGCCTAAGAGGAGAGAATTTGAGAGACTTTGTTAGGGTAGAATTCCCAGAATTTGACAGTAGGGAGAGACAGGAGTTGAAGATAACTTCATGAGAACTGAATAGCTTGACCAAGGAAGGAATGTGTATTGAGAGGACAGGAGAGCCCTGAATGAAACCTAAGGAATTGATGGAAAAAGAGCTACCACCAAAAGAATTAAGAGAGGTGAGAAAGTAGCAGCCAGAGTTGTGAGTTTGAAGCTAGGGAACAGGGTTGCAACAAGGAAAGTGCTTAACAAATCAGATGTTGCAGGAAGGTTAAGGAAGAGAAGAACTGAAAAAATACTGTATTTGGTAATTGGGTTATTGACCTAACTGGGTTATTTCTGGAAATTGGTGGAAAAAGAAGTTAATAGCAGTGAGATAAAGTATAACTGGAAGATTATAAATAACATATGCTCTGTGGTGGCATAGTGCCTAAGGCATTTGACTGCTAACCAAAAGGCTGGCAGTTCAAACCTACCAGCCACTCCTTGGAAGGAAGGTTGGGCAATCTACTTCTGTAATGATACCGCCTCAGAAACCCAAGGAGGGGTTGCTATGAGTTGGATCCAACTCAGTGGCAGTGAGTTGTTTGTTTGGTTTTTTTAATGGTGGCATAGTGCCTAAGGCATTTGACTGCTAACCAGAGGGCTGGCGGTTCAAACCCACCAGCCACTCCTTGGAAGGCGGGTTGGGCAATCTACTTCCATAGAGATACTGCCTGGGAAACCCAAGGAGGGGTCACTATGAGTCCAGACGACTTGATGGCAGTGAGTTTGGTTTAGTTTGGTATGGTACTTTAAAAAGTCAGGCGAGGAAAAGTAGATGTGAGATAGCTTCACAAGAGAAAATTATTGAGAAGTGTCTTTTTCTTGTTAGAGAAAAGAGAATCTTGAGCAGTAGGCTCTTGGATGAGTGATTATTTATTTGATGAAGCAGATTCTGGAAAGAAACTAGAAGTATTGAATTTAAAAGCACTGATAAAGTGATGAGTCTTTGAAGAAGGAAGTTAGAGAACTTCATTTCTTAAGGCCCCTCCCTCTCAGTGGAGCAGAAGAGAAGGTGGTCAAAGGAAAAACCTAAGGCAGAGGCAGAGGAAGAGAAGGCTTGGAACTGAAGGAGGATGGAGCAAGAAAGGGGGGAAACAAATCAGGCAAGTAACACTTGAGTGTAGAGGGAAGGTGAGAAATGCTAACTTACCATGGAAACAGTGTTCTTAAACAGAATTTGACAGTCCCAAAACAAAAGAACAACTGGGTGGAAAAAGAAACACAACTGCTGTCCAGTCAGATCTGACTCCTAGCGACTCCTCCTTGGGTTTCTGAGGCACTATCACTATGGAAGTAGATTGCCCAACCTTCCTTCCGAGGAGTGGCTGGTGGGTTTGAACTGCCAGTCTTCTGGTTAGTAGTAAAATGCTTTAGGCACTACGCCACCAGAACTCCTAACTGGGTAGAAGATGTTACGATCATAGCTGGTTATTTATACAGCTAGAGCTAGAGCCCAGTTTGTCCTGACTCTTACACCAGGGTCTCTTCTAGTAAATTATTTCATGTACCTGTTGAACCAACCAGTATGTGGAAGTTTGTTTTGTGTTCAGCTCTCACCTATAGTTTCTGGTGTGTTACTAACAGCATAGCTTTGAAATGAGACTCTTTGAAATTTCTCACCTTACTTAATAAATGTCTACTTAAGTTGCTTACTGACTTGCAAAACTAACTTGACATGTTATAATGAGCCTCTAAGGGACTTGAGTAACCTCTCACCATCTTATCTCATGTGTGGTCTTAAATCATTGATTAGATGAAAGCTTTAATGGAAAGAGCCAGCTTTCTGGTTAGCAATCAGATGCCTAGCGGTCAAATGCCTTAGGCACTACGCCACCAGAGCTCCTGTGGAAAGAGTCAAACAAAAAAAAAGCCATTGCCTTTGATTGGATCCAATCCGACTCATAACGACCTCTCCTTGGGTTTCCCCGGCAGTATCACTATAGAAGTAGATTGCCCAATCTTCCTTCCAAGGGGTGGCTGGTGGGTTTGAACCATCAGCCTTCTGTTTAGCAGACAAATGCCTTAGGCACTAGGCCACCTGTGATAGTTGAAGATCTGTCAACTTGGCTGGACTTCACTTGTGAGTGGTGTTTCCCATGATGGATCACATGACTACGTCCTAAGCGGCCGGTCAGTCTAGGGGGAGTTTCCCCAGGGGTGTGGCCTACCTGTAATACTATCCCAGGAACAAACTGGAAAAAAC